ACAGACTTACTGGCCAGATGCTGCTCTCCAAAGCTGCTGCGCTGCATGCCTGTAAATAGGCCTTTGGATCGGTATCAGCCGATATGGCTGGTTAACAATTGGCCAAAGAAATCTTTATCGGTGCACCCCTAGGGATTAGAGATAGTCTTTCTTCCCCTTGCTGCTCCTTCTGTTTATGTAGAGTGCAAATGGCTTTTTCAGCTGCGGAAGTCTCTTGCTACATGCATCTATTACAGTGCCTGGCACAACATGGCTCCAGCTGTACGCTGTGGTCCTCATAATAGTTGATAATTATTAGCAGCAACTTGCGTCTGGTGACAAGTTGCACCTACACGCTGTTGATCTTATAGGGACAATCTTTTGAAAGCAGACTATGGAAAATGTTCTTGGGAAAAATGTTGCCAGTAAGACGATATTGCTCTTACCAGGTGTCACTGCAAGCAAGCATCGACTGTATCACTGTAATGTCTGTTGGCTTAGAAAATGGTTTGCTTTTCAGGAATTGGCTTATAGGTATAGATATATACATTATAAGGGTTCAAGATGGGCAGCAGGGGTTAATTGATTTCTAAAGAGCTTGGGTCTCGCACACAAAGCGTCTCTCAGCCCAGGAGGCAGACAGGCTGTCTAACACAATAAGGCCAAGGGATACACACATAGTCTAGAACACAGTCTGGGAACTGGGAGCATATACCATACTGTCCCATAACACAAGATAAAGTGATACCAGCAACAAGGCCCCAGAGCAGGGGGGCCCCCAAGTCCCAGTTTTGGGTGGACAGACCAAATTAGGTGAAGGCCCAGAAGGTTACGTGGATGGATGTGTGACCACAGAGAGACAACCAACCAAAGATAGCCATGGAGGGAAGGAGACTACAAAAGCAGAGACTTGAGAGTAACAAAGGGTTCCTCTTTCCATCCTCCCCCCTGAGAGGGTCCCCATCCCCAGGAAGGGTCCCCAGGGCCACCATGGACAGAGGGCATACCACCTGCCTGCCTTATATACCCCATGGGAGGGAGGGCAGCCCTTGGCATCTCACCTCCACATTGCTGACATCTGACACCTAAGGAAGAGCCTCAGAGTCCTGGCCAGATGTACTTAAATTCTGATGACAGCCCTAGGATTTGGTAGATATACAGAATTGCTTAATTGTTTTTATTGTTTCTTTTCTGTTATCACCAGGGATCCTGTTTCTCTCTGATTTAAAAAAAATCCCCAATTTTCACTTCAAAAAAAGTAGCCCCAAATCCATATTTTTCCACAATTAAAATGAAACACTACTATACAGGTTTCCCTCAATTTATGCGGGTTCTTTATATGCAAATTTGCTCTTATGCGGTGAGCATATTTAGACCCATAATCCATTATATGCGATCGGCATAGATGCCTCCCCTCCCCCAGCCCAAGCAGGTAAGTCTATGGGGGGAGGGGAAAGGGCCATGGCCCCACTCACCCCAGCCCCGGCTACCGCCGGCTGGTGCGAGCTGCCTGCACCAGGGCACGGTGCAGCCCAGGAGCAGAGGCGAGTGGGGCAGGCGGAGCGCGGTGCAGCCCACTGGCTGCAGGCAGCTGGTGCCGGCCGCTCCCGGGGCCACCGCAGCCAGGGCTGGGGCGAAGGCCGCTCTGTTCCCTATGCTTTTCTGCCTTGTGCAGCCCCAGGAGCGGCACCCCTCCCACCGTCCCTTCCCTAATCCTAGCCTCATTCCCTCCCTCCCTCCCCGCCATGGGAACGTATCCCTATTTGTTACATTGTAAAGTAGGTTCGCTTTATGTGAATTCAATTTAGGCGCCTTTCTCCGAGAGCGCATGTACAGCATAAATTGAGGGAAACCTGTATATAGATCTATATATTAGTGGTACTTCATTTAAATCACAGAACAGTGTGGATTTGGGGTGACTTTTTTTTTAAAAAACTAAAAATTGGGGATTTTTTAAATTGGAGAAATCCAGGATCCCTGGCATCACTGTGTATCAATACATTTGCCTATTATCGAACAGAGAGGTCGTGGTCAGTCTGAGCGTGGGAACAAGTGTGGGTCCACCCCCTACCCCCGGAACAAGGCTCTGGGTCCTAAATCCAGAGCCAATAATGCCTACCAATGTTTTCAGACTGTTCCCATGAAACATTAAGATATGGCTGGAGAACACGTTTTCAACAATCAACTATTTGGAGCATAGTTGATAGCTTTAAAAGTTTTATACAGACCAACTAGACAGTCCCCAACCTAGCAGTGCCCCTTTACGTCACTGTTGATAGGCAAGATCAGAGCTCAGCTTTTAGCATCAACAGATAACCTCTTCTGCCTGGGAATGGGAAGTCTCCTTTTCACAGGCCCATTAGATAAAAGGCAACTTTATCAGAGAGTTCAAGGACCTTCTAGTTATCTCGTGGGCACACACCCCACGGGGCAACGTGACACTTACCAGGTTCTCCTCGTCTCCCAGCCTTTCCCCGCCGTCCTGGAGGGCCTGTGGAAACAAGAGAGCAAAGGGCTTTTTATTTCATGGAAATTATTGTCAGAGGAAAATGAACCTCACAGAGAACGGGCCCAAGAGAGAACAAGCAAGAAGCCATTTCTTCTGAATCCAGAGCTCTCTCACATCGCCTTCAGAATGAGCTGAAAAGCAGTAGGGGACCAAGACACTTTTTAGTGGATTTGATATCACAAACACCCTCTTTTGCAAACAATATTTGCTCTTTCTGATATTCTACTCTGCTACAGCACATTAAGAGAAGGCTCTCCTTATCCCATGTCATTTTAATGGGGGTTGTCATCACCATCCTGTAAATTATGTACCATGAGGAAAACTCAGATTTTTTTCCCCCTTTAGAAAGCAGCAAGGGGTCCAAATGCCACAGATCTGAGCAGTGAAGCAGAGATCTAGAAAGGACCTCAGGACATCATTTAGTCCAAGCCACTGCTCACACCAGGATCAACCTAAGCCAGGGGTGGGCAAAGTCAGGCTCACAGCACACTACATTTCCCAGCAGCCCCCACCCACGCCGCTCCAGCTTGTCTCCAGGGCCAGGATCTTGTCGTGGTGATGGCGCGGGCCAGAGCCAGAGCACAGCTGCGATCCGCTGCCCACATGCCCCTACTGCAGAACCCAAGCTTGGCAAAGGGGCATACGGGAAACTGATAGTGGCTCTGCCCCAGCTCCTGCCCACGCCATCACTGCCGCAAGGTCCTGGAGCAGCTCCCCACCTAGCCATGTGTCCTGCCAGTGCTGCTCCAGGCTGGTCTCCATGAGACCCTGGGAGCATGTGGCCATGATGGGTCCACACTGTCACAGCCCAGCTGCTCCCGGCATCTCAACGGACACCAGCCATAGTGGCATGGGCAGGGACCGCTAGGAAATGGAGTTCAGCCGCTGACCGGATCTGCCATTTTGCCCACCCATCCCAGAGAAGTGTTTGTCTAACTTGCATGGAAAGGCATCCAATGACAGAAGACTCCACAACTTTGTTGAGGAATCCCATCACCTAGAGGAGGATGGGGCATTCGGGAGTAGTGCTGGAGTCTTTGAAATACAACAGCCTCTCTCCTGTGCACACCAAAACTGGAATTGTTTCAATTCGTCTGAATACAATGCAGATGGCTTCAGAAGCTGGAGTGGGATCTTCTTCTGCTCAGGAGCTCAACAGGACTCTCAGATGTCCAAAACTTACAGTTTTGACAGTGTATCAGATGGGAAAATGGATGTGCTTTTACTGTTCACTACCAACTAAATCACAAGACATGTCCTTAAATATGCTAAGACACCATAGGCCAGATCCTATCCCTCTATTAGGCAACTAGGTGGATTTAGGTGCTCAAGTCAGATCCTAATCCACCCTGCTTCTGTCTCTTAAAAATAGCTAACGAAAAAAACGGATGGATTCCCCTGCTCCTTGATGCATTTTTGTGACTTGGGTCTTATAGCTAAGATAAGGTAGAAGGTAGAAGCATTAGCATTTTTTCAGGGACCTCATCAAAATAGAGTAGGATCACACAAGCACCAAATAGACAGCATAGGATCTGGCCTCCACACATTTTCCTCTGCAGTTAAACATTCATGTTTTACCAGGACCAATTTTGGCATATAAACCATCACCCCTCTTATTTTCCCATCTGGGTAAAGATGACTGAACGATCGAGTAACAGAAGAAAACGTAAACAACATGTTCTTAATCATGAATACGCTGAAAAAATTAAAGGACGCATTCACGGGGCACTGAATACAGGCAGTAAATTGTTGGATAATAGTCTACAAAAAGAACACTTAAAATGCAAAAGTACAAAATGCTGCAGCACCAATGGAATCTGGATTTCATTGGAGGTACAGCATTTTGTACTTTTGCATTTTAAACTAATATTCTGCAATAGGCTGATGATCAGAATAAAGCACCTATTAATTCACAGCTGACACTTCCTGTGCTCATTGCAACATGCGTATTGCAAGATCAAGATGTGGCCAAAAGAAAAACACATGTCTAAGGATGGTGGTCTACCCCTCGCAGGTCGGTCGGTTCTGGAGCTGTTGTCAATGAAGGACAGCGATAATGATGAAAAACAAAAGCAAGCTGTGCTCTTGTTTTTTTATCTAGGAAAATCCACCATTATTCGATCACGAGCCCTCCCGCCCCTCCTTACTGTTGCTCCATCTTTTGATGGGGAGAGAGGAAGAAGGTAAATAGGAAAGGAACAAAGTCATTAAATATTCCTGTCCCCTTAGCAAGGATTCACAATTTGCACCAATGTTTTTGTTTCTTACTGTGGAACCAAGTTCCTAGCCAGGGGCTGGAGCTTCCCTTTGCAGTGCTATAATACACATTTAGGCACAATCTGATCTCCATTTGCTCACCTCTACTGGTATCCTAGAGGCAGATCAAAATAACAGATATTCTTTTCAGTATGTACTGCTAGGAAATCCAGTTCCCATCCACAAAGGGGTCTTTAGTAGTCTATGTACTGTTCCTACAACCTGCAAATCTTGTGCACCTCATTCTAGAGCTTCACCAGTGAAAACTCATTGGGTAGAACATTTTGGGGTTATTTGTTGTAGCCATGTTGGTCTAAGGACATAGGTAGACATGATTCTTTGGGTAAATGTGATATCTTTTATTAGGCCAACTAAATAATTGGAAAAATTGTCCTTAACAAGCTTTGGGGCACAAAGACCCTTCTTCAGGTCTTTAGAATGTTTGTATGCTCTTCTGGGCAGAGAATATCACATTAGGTACAATGTCAGTCTTATTGCTGCATCCTCAGAAGATGCAAAACTTCCAAATACTGCCTGATTTACAACTACATGATCAAAAATCTTGGGGGAAGATACCAGCCAGTGCCAGTATCTTAAATGGGGGTAGGCTACTGGGGTACTAGCTTCCGGTGCTATCTTGGTGGTGGTAGTGGTGATAGGGAAGGCACAAAAAGAGCCATGACTACAGAGCTGCCTGGGAGGCCGCTGGACAAGGCAAATGTCCATCCCATCTGAAAGCATCTGTCTTTGAGTAATCCAAGAGGAACTTTCCTTGGTCAACCACAAACTAAGGGAAAAAAAAAATCACTTGATTTGGGACTGCTCAGTTTGCCCTCAACTTATCTCAGGTTTTCAGAAAGGTTTCAGAGACCATAGGCCAAGTTTAAAGTGAACATGGGAAGAAGTCTAGCTTTTATTTCCAAACCACAGATAGACTGTCAGTTCTACATGGTTTCAACCTATGACTGACCCTTAGCTGAGCTTTGCTTTGGAGTCTCTGGGTCCATTTAAATCAAAAGCCAAGAGAGTTCACAAAAGATTTTTTTTTTTTACCCAAACTGCTCAGTTTTCAGCTGGTGCCCCAGCTAGGTAATATAACTTGGATACCTGATGGAGATTAGCTGAGGCTTGCTAAATCTGACTGCTGTCCACAAACCATTGATCTTTCCCCCAGGGATCAAGCAGCTAAATTGGCCTTCATGTTGGAACAGTCTACCAGAACTGCACAGCACACCCCAGACACTTGGCTTATGCAGCAAAATTCTCCTTCTTTCTAAGTAAAGCCATATGAAAGCGTCTGCTTTTCTTCAGGTGGTTGAACCAATCAATTGGTTCAAGTGACTTTCCTAGAGAACTCATTTTCACTTAAAAGCACAGATTGACGAGGAGAAATCTGAAGAATGGGCAAAAAGGGGGTGGGTAGGGCTGAGGGAATACAAGCATTTAATTAGCTCAAGCTCAAAGAAATGAACAGAAAGAAAATACACATCAACCACATTGTTAGGTGAAACCTGAAAAGTGATATAAAGCTGATTTTCATAGTAACACAGACATGAGTTAACAGCAAGTCCACCCACAAAGGGAGATCTAAGGTAAGTTTACTAACGGTACAGCTCTCATTATTGATTAGGGGGTAACAATACAGTCAACGCTTTACAACGTGTACATAAGGAGATCCCTATGCCGAAAATGTCCTGTTGTAAGGGTCTGTCCTCACTGGGTTCTCACCCACCCGTCCTCATACAAAATCACCTCACACCTGCATTTATGGTACATGACACCTGAGCTAGGGACAGGCATTCAAAAAACCTGAGCCTAAAATTGATTCAATCTTTGCAGGTTAGTCTAACCTGGATAGGCTGAATCACTTTGTAACTGACAGACATCCCAGACATGCAGGCACATGCCTGCAGTGGCTCAGGCTAGAAGCTGGGGGGTGCTAGAGCAGCCCTCCCTTCCCTTTATCAGTGCTGAGCTGAGTGGGGGCATAGCCAGGCCCTGTCAGGATGCTCTGATTAGGGAGGTTCCCCCCACTCCTGACCAGCCCAGCAGGGAATTGATAACACAGTGTTTATCACCCATTAAGAAAACAACAGAGGGACATTACCAGCTACCTGTTGATTCTGCCTTTGTCTCATCTGCCACAGCACGGACTGTAGCCAGCGTGTGGTCTGCTAGCTAACGCTGAGAGGAGTCTGTGTAAGGCAGAGGGGATGGGGATGGGAGCAGGTGGAAGCCAGGCAGATGCCTGCAGTCTCTGCTGGAGCTGCAGCCAGGGAGCAGAGGGGAAGGGGCCAGCCCTGCTGTGAAGCAGAGTCCCACCCAGCCCAGAGAGCATGTTGGGATGCTGGGGGAGTCTGGTTCAACTTAAAGCAGCAAGGGGTCTGGGACAGACATTGCATAAACCACTTTGACCCAAATCAGTTAAGTCTAATACTACATTCAACCAGGTTCATCTCAAACCAGTTTCAGCCATTTTCAAACTGGTTTATGTGCCCTGAACATCTGTTCTGTTAGAGATTTAAACCAGTTTCTGATCACTTAAACCGGTTTATGTAATATCTGTCCCTAGCCCTGATAGCACAGACAAAGATACGTTAGAACTTGGGTGCTGCTTTGAGTCAGGTTGGGAACTGGCCTAGTTAGCACAACCTAAATCCCTCAAGCGCTAAGAGTCCTCCAGTGCCTTCTTACAAGTTCCTCTGTGTACATGGAAGGACAGGCAA